CTCGCTAGTTTGGTTGCTAATAGTTCATCGGGAAAGACAATCGGTGACTAAAATTTTTTTAGCAGCCAAAAGTGACCTGTTGGCGACTAAAACTTTAGTCACCGTATATTTTTTAACAATAATTAAATATATATATTTTTTACTTTTAGCGACTAAATTATTTAGTAGCCAATTGAACATGTATGTTTGGCGACTAACTATTTGGTAGCCAAAAGTGACCTATTGGTGATTAAAACTTTAGTTGCCATATATTTTTTAACAATAATTAAATATATATATTTTTTACTTTTAGCGACTAAATTATTTAGTAGCCAATTGAATATGTATGCTTGGCGACTAACTATTTGGTAGCCAAAAGTGACCTATTGGTGATTAAAACTTTAGTTGCCATATATTTTTTAACAATAATTAAATATATATATTTTTTACTTTTAGCGACTAAATTATTTAGTAGCCAATTGAACATGTATGTTTGGCGACTAACTATTTGGTAGCCAAAAGTGACCTATTGGTGATTAAAACTTTAGTTGCCATATATTTTTTAACAATAATTAAATATATATATTTTTTACTTTTAGCGACTAAATTATTTAGCCCCTCCTTGTGTTTTGCTTACTACCCTAGCATGATCCATACTTTAGCTTATTATTCTAGCTAGTTTTGTCTTAATTCCAGCATCTTTTAGGACTTGTTTAGCACTGTTTTAGGACTATTTTTAACTGTTTGTTGCATTTGAGCTTTGTTTTGCATGCTTGTAGTGTAATTGTCCTCATAAGCTTGGTGTTTTAGGCATTAGACACCATATTCTTTGAGTTGATAGTTTTTATTTATGGCTTTCAATACTAGTAATCACTCTTAATCACCTCTGGAACCTCAATCCTTTCTTGGCTTCTGTTTTTCTTTGAAAGAGGTTTCAAATTATTTGTTTGTTTAAGCATGAGATTGAGATGTCATGCTTAATGGTTTAATCCCTTTGGGGGTTCATTACCAATAGTATGATGTCTCTTTCATGCCCAAAGCAACACTTGGTTTGAGCCCTCTTTCCATTAGAGGACTTAAATTCACCTTTGTACTCAATTGACTAAAGAATGGATGGTAATCTAAAATGAAGTAATAAAACTGAAGCTAAAAAAGAGCAAGATAATAATTTGGTTAGGGTTCAATCGAACATTAATTGAACCCTTGAGTCTTGAGTCGTTTCATACTCATTAGTGATGAAAACGATTCAAGATTCATTGTCAACTATTTCCCTTGATCTTTCATGATAGGGAGGTGGTTTTAAGAGTCTTATTTTATTGCATTCATTGAATTTGCACACTTGATCCATAAGCCATCATGCAATGAAATTGCATCCATTGGCGGTTTGTGAAATTAAACTTAATACTCCTTTGAGATGTTCAAATTATAAGGAAAGGTAAATTGTGCAAACAAACCCTTGAGAATACACTATCAATGCTCTATTTGCTCTCTATTGCAACAAGACAATTCAATTAGCAGTGGCTGACAGGCCACCTTCTGTGGACGGCAGGCCCTTTGCCGACCACCAGTGCAAAATCAAGCAATGTCTTTTTGAAGCAGAACAGAGTTGTTTTGAAGGTGGAAATCAGTGCAAATGTTCTACTGTGCATCAAAGGCACTCAACAACAGAAACAGTGGCTTTTCCGGATGGAAACCGCATTCATGCATGGGCCCTCCATCGATCTTCAAGATCCGTGTTGTAAATATATTAGTGGTGTGCAGTGGCTTTGTAATTAATTAGTTAGAATAACTAATTCATCTCGTGTTGTAATTATTTTAATTAGCTAGATTAGTTAATTAATTAGTTCATTCGGTTTGTAATAGATTAGTTAACCCCACGTCTTTCTCCCTTTTATTTCCTAGCTTAGGATGGTTAGATTAAAGCATCATGTTTTGTTTAGCATTCTCCATGTTTGCATCAACTTGTATTGCATGCATCGATGCTTGATTCATCATTCTAACTTACATTGTCATTTAATACTTCTTTGAATATGTGCTTAGACCACATGCTATCAAATTGATTCATATGCTATACTAGTAGCCGAGCTTAGTAATTGCATATCGCATGTGTTGCATTAGTCATATTACATAGTTAGGGATCATGCATTTTTCTAACTCGTTTCTCTTTTGGCTTGGAGTACTTGGTGAGCCTTTACTCGCTTTAACATATCGCATGTGTGTGATTGTTGCCATGTTTAGAATGCTTACCATGAGGCTAAGTGCTTAACTGATAAACTGTTTGAATGCCTATGGATGAAGGCTATTTGGTGATGACGGACACGTGGCCTTTGGCACGAGTCATGGGTTTTTCTAAATTTTCCCAAAATATTTAGGTGGCCACTCTGTATCTGGCAAAGCAATCCATTTTTGGTAATTTGATTCAAAATTGATTTTCCAAAAGATTTGCCAGATTTGGACTCTCTGGTGTTTATCTATTTCACATTGCACTTGTGGGATTAGATTTAGAATCACGAGAGTCCGATACTATAGGTCTTATTCATCTTCCGAAAGGGAGCACGAAAAGTCGAGCTATAGTTTTTGGCGACTTTCCTGGGGATTTAGAAAACTTGACTCGAGCTTCATGATGTGAAAGTTTATCTAAACTTATATGTTTCTTTACATTGCATTTGCATTGGTGCATTTGAGTCACTGTTTTTGCCATCTGCTATTCCTAGATGGTTTGCCGGAGGCTTGTCTGAAAGCTTGCCAAAAGGCTGACCGGTCACAGGCTCTGCCATGATGGGAACACAACCCCTGGATCTGGACTACCGCTATACCATTTGATCCTCTTTTCACTTCTAGATTTCAGGTTTGAGAGGTATATTAGGTAGTCTTGTTAAGGTACCCTTTTGACCAATCGACCTAGTTGCATATCGAAAAGCCATAGAGACTATTCCAAACTAGGACAGGATGCTTACCTGAATACAAGATTGCGTGAAATCGCTTTGTTTGAATAGTGAACTCTAGTTCCTGACGAAACTAGGACATGGTAACCTTACCCCCTCATAGGGGTGTTTTGGTTCTCACTTAACTGATATATGCTTTATGGTGAAACTGTATAGGAATATGCGTATTAGTTGCAAGTTTGGTATCCGTTTTAGGAGTAGAATTCAGTGTTGAGTGCATTCCTACAACTTTGATTACATCTGTGTTGGTAATGTCATTAGCTGAGGTGCTGTGCAGTTTCTGATTACTGCTTTCTTTTTGCTTTATTTCTTTTTGCTAGGTAGTATAACACCATAGCTTCAGAAAGTTCGGATATCCCGCAAGTGCTCTGGACCCGAGTCAAAAGGCTTTGTAAAGTTGGAGATCTTGTTAGGGGACAACCTGTGTTTACTTCACTCTCACCGGTTACAAGACGGAGGAGAGTCCGGCAGAGTTCATCGGTCCTGTTTTTACAGTAGTCCCCTCTCAATTCACCTATATTCAGTCAGGCTCAGGGATAGTCTTTTACTTCTAGTCCAACACGAGATTACTCACCGATTCCGATGACACAGTATCCCCTAGTCAGTATGGATGAATTAATACATCATCTTCCGCAAACAGTTCAAACCCTGCAGTAGGAAATTGCTCGTCAGGCCGAGGTCACAGCCCGTCAGACTGAGGCAATAAATAGGCTGCAACAACAACAACCACAACCGGTAGTGGGTTCTGCATCCCACTGCTGAATGCTTGGGCAGACATTTTCAAAGGTAGACATTAACATCAATTTGTAAATATATCATCCCACTTATTAAGCCATCATTGATTGAAACCTCAGTGTCAATAAAACTATCTAATAGAAAAGAAAAAGATGAAGTCCACATAATAGGCAGTCACACAGATTGTGGAGCTTAAATATATTTTCGACACAACCAAAAAAAAAAAAAAATTGACAAGAAAAAGTGGTAGTTAGAAATAACTAACCAAAAAGTAATAAATCCAACCATTTTTGTGTCGCAATTTTGAAATTAGTACAATCTTAATTTTGATCTCCTCCAAACTTTGTGGCAGTTTTGTAATTACAATAATCTTATTTTTGAACTCCTCCAAACATCATTGAAAGCCTCTTTACAAGTATTTTTTTTTAAAAATAAAATAAGAAACAGCTTCATCTTAGTACATCAAAAAAACCATATGCAACTCTTGACAAATGGCAATTTATTTCTCTCTCTCTCTCTCTCTCTCTCTCTCTCTCTCTCATCCAACCACAAGCACGATGAAAGTTAGCAGCTTCAAAGATTGAAATGTTTTTACTGGGCCAGATATGATCTTCCTGTTATTCAGTTAGGAAGAATAGCTTCCAAATTTATAGCAAGCTGCTCGACCCTACAATGACAAATATCAACAAAAGGGCCAATAACTGTTGCCTCAATGATTTCAACATGGCGTTAGTTGCTTAATGACTGATAGTTACAGTTCTCAAAAGTTAAGTTATCGTGTGTCAAATTATTAACTATGAGGTGCCTTCAATATTAGATTGAAATTTGAGCTTCAAACAGATTCATGAAGATAATCTGAAATGGTATGATTTTGTAAAAATGCAATTCAGATTAAAGTATATTCACCCAAAAAAATTCAGAGTAAAGTATTTAAATTTTCCTTCCTTTCCCTATTTCACTGTATTAGCACTGGTCTAATGAGGCATTCTATTTTGTACTTTTTAAATGAAAAAAGGACGCACCAATCCACTTAGCTCCAATATCTCCAAGCACCCCCGCAAGCAAACAAGCACTTTTTCACTAGCAATGTTTCTTTGGTCCAAAGTAATCACTTCAATCAAACTACTGCTAAAAATATTTCCCAAATTATCACTTAGCATTTGATATTAAAAATAAAAAAGGCAAATAAATAATAGAGTATTACAAACAAGAGAGATCTGTACAGAATATATAACACATCAAGCAAAAAGAATGATATCAATTCCCAAACAATGAACAAAAAGCTAAATTGAATATTTCTATTTGCACTAAATTCTTTGAATTCAAGACAACATAATTTTCTTCTATTAATAGTAGACAACCAACAACACTTGATACATTATATTGAACTCAACTCTTAAAGGCCTCAAAACCATAGACTTTCTGTATAACTTTGTTTATCACTATAGTGGGAGTTGTAGATAAATAAAAATCACCAAAACAAACTGATGTAAACTTAGCAAAGACCATAATATCATTATCAGATATGTAATTCAAATGTGATTTAATGGAGTATGTCTAATCATGATATTATCAAATAAAAGAGGGAAAAATCAAATTTTTTTGGAGGAAATCAATTTCTACCTGCTGGAATTGCTCATTCGAACCTTCCACTTAGACTGGGACCATGGAGCCATACACGGGCATCTGAAAAGAGGCATAATTTCCACATCTACGAATCAAATTCACCAAAACACACTAAAAGAAAGAAAAAAAAATCAACAAAATCAAAAACTTGTGATGAAGTATGCATACAAGTAACATTCGGATCGGAATCGATTGGATGATTGGAATTGGAAAGCCATTGCTTCGCATGCTCAATGCAGGGGATGTATAACGAATCCATTGATCCAAACTCTCTGGACTTAATCCAAACCCTTGGAGTAGATTAAGATCATAAAATAAGAAGTGAATAAGGAAGAGAATAAACAAAGAGAGAGGGGCTTCTAAGAGAGAGTTCTTCAATGTTGAATCACGATCTGCAACTCCAAGGAGGAATTATCTGGGAGAGAGAGAGAGTACCTTCGTGATGTTCAGATATATCGACGGGTTGGATGGATAATAGAATTTTGTGGATGGATTGGTCAAAATCAAAACTTAAATACGATAGATACATAAATATATGAATCAAAATCAGTCAAAAGCTTTAATCGGTAAAGAAAGCAAGCACAATATCGAAGAAATCTACAGAAAATTGAACGAAGATTATGATATATGTATATACATAACTACATCTACATGTATCGAAATCAGTCAAAAACTTCAATCGGAAAAGGAAAGAGAATAACCTAAATATCGATGGGAGGCGAGGCAATGGTGAGCTACGGTGGTGATGTTCGACGGTGGAAGATTAACGGTCACTGTGGTTGTGTGCGATACTGAGATGAGGGGCGGTGATAATTGATTCTCTGTGTGTGTGAGAGAGAGGGAGAGCAAGAGAGAGAAAGAGTCGTGTGAAGACTAATAGATTTGGGCAAAAATTTAGGCGCCAATATGAAATATCTCCCACTAAAATTTTGAACACATTTGCCGACTAAATTTTAGTTGCTGAAAGTAGATTTTTGGCGACCAAAGTTTGGTAGCCAAAAGATAAAAAATAATTTTTTATTTTTTATTCGGCGACTAAACGATTTTAGTAGCCAAAACTCAATATATGGTGACTAAAATATTTTTTTGTCGCTGAACATATGTTTTTGGGGACCAAACATTTGGTTGCCATAGATAAAAAATAATTTTTTATTTGCTATTCGGCGACTAAATGGTTTTAGTAGTCAAAACTTAATATACCGCGACAAAAATATTTTTTTTTTTTACTGAAAATATGTTTTTGGCAACCAAACTTTTGGTCGCCAAAGATGAAAAAGAATTTTTTATTTTTTATTTAGCGACTAAATGGTTTTAATAGCCAAAACTCAATATACGACGACTAAATTTTTTTTTGTCGCCAATTCTAGTATTTTTAGCGAATAAAATTTTTTTAGTCGCCAATAATCAATATACCCCGACTAAAAAAATCAGTAGCTAAGTATTGTACTTTTGCCAACTAAAATTTTTTTTGTCACTAATTCCACAATTTTTGGCGGCTAAATTTTTTTTGATCGCCATTTTGGTTGCCAAAGGTGCATTTTGTTGTAGTGATTGTTGTAATAAACTCTTAACCCCACGTCTTTCTAACCCTTTTATTTACTTGCTTTCAGTACTGCATCATGTTTTTCTTTATCATGCCTGTATATTGCATCTATTTTTCATGCATTTGGGTCCAGTTCATCCGCATTTGTGGGATTTACTATCTTCAAAGATGAATACATGCATAAACCTATGTCTTGAGATGATACTCATGTCATGTCTTATCTTCACTCCTAGCTGCATGTTATGTATGTATCGCATTAGTAGTTTGTATATAGGATCATGTATATTTGTATATATTCTCACGTGTCTTGGGACTCGCCTTAGAGTACTAGGTGAGCATTCTTTAGCTTTACCATATTGCATTTGCGTGTTCCTTATCATATCTGTTGCTACATCATGAGGCTAAGTGCTTAAGTAAGATATTTGTATGAATTCCAGTGGATGGATATTGTGCTGTTTATTTTTGAATATAGATGATTCTTATGCTGCGGATTTTATCCAAGAAGAACCCTTTTCAAAATGCATGAAGTCAGAGCATAACCAAAATTAATGACACAATCTATATTTGCATGCCTTAGATAGTAATGATAACATTTTTAATTAGCATAATATGGATGTACGGTGGCCTTTATTATTGGCCTCTATTAACTTTCTATGGATGTCTATTGACTTTCTATGGCCTCTATTAACTTTCTATTTTACGATTTTAGTGATTAATTATTCATACAAGTCATTTTAAGCCTAAACCTTTAACTACCCTAAAACTGTGATTTGAATAAAAGATGAGCATTACTTAAGAGAATAAAACCATATTTTCTAAAATGATATTTTTCACACAAAACAAGATTTTTATTGGTTAATGGAAAAAACCCAACCTAAAATAAATAAAATTCATGAAAACATTCAAAACATATAATTGCACAGGAAAAAACAATTGACTTGGATTATTTAAATAACAATGCGTAGAACAGACATATGTTATGGAGATAAAAGGCAAAGGGCTTGACTTGACTGTGCCTCTAATTTATTGCTTTGATCTTTTTAGTTTTCTGATGTAAAAAACTTTGATTAACATGAGAGTCGAATGAACATTTTGGATATTGTGGGATGCCTTTGGGGTTACCAAGTGCGCCCGACAGTTTAGACCCCCAATTTCTGATATGATATCACTAGTGCAATGTAAAACAGAAAATGAGAGTCCAAATCTAGCACCTTTTGTAGAAAATCCATTTTATTGCAAAACATTTGCTAGAAATGGACTACTTCAACAGATTTTAGAGTCGCCATCTAATCTTTTGGAAAAATTAAAAAACATGTGGCACGTGCCAAAGGGTACTTTCCGTCATAACCAAAGTGTCTCGGCTCAGGAACTTACGTATGAGAGGGAAATGTCATTAATTGAGTACTCCACTCACCCGATTAAAAGATCAGCCTCTACTAAGTCATGATGTGGTTTTTATAATCAATATATATCTATATAACGTTACCATTACTTTCTGAGGCATGCAAGTATAGATTGTGGCATTAATTTTCGTTATACTTTTGATTCCATGTATTTTTTAAAAAGCTTTTTGTACAAACTCAACATCATAAGAATCATCTACATTCCAAAATAAACAACACAATCTCCATCCACCGGCATTCAAATAGATATTTCACTTTAAACACTTAGCCTCATGGTATAGCAATAGATGTGATGAAAGGCATGCACAGGTAATATGGTAAAGCCGAAAAATTCTCACCTAGTACTTTGAGGTAAGCCTCACGAAAATGCCGACATATATACATATATGCATGATCCTATATACAACTGACTAATGCAATACATACACACAACTATGGACTTGCCTTTTTCTCGCACCCTGCCTTTTGGGAAAGTTTGAAAAGAAGGCCTCACAGTTCGGACTCCACCTGTGGTTCTGAATCTAGTCTCACAAGTGCAATGTGAAACTAATAAACACCAAAGAGTCCAAATCCGACAAATCTTTTTGGAAAATCGATTTTAAATCAAATAATGCCAAAATTGGATTGCTTTTCTAGATACAGAGTCGCAACCAAAATATTTTATTTTTTTGAAAATTTAGGAAACCCTGTCTTGTGCCGAAGGCCATGTGTCCGTCATCACCAAAGTTTCCTCAGCTCGGGAACTTAGGTACGAAGGGGAAATGTCATGAATTGAGCACCCCCATTCGCCCAATCAAAAATCGGCCTCTACTAATCATGATAAGGTATTTTATAAACGTTATGTGTTCTTGTTCCAATTATTAATCTAACTTTACTATGTGATGCATACAAACAAATATAGACTAAATCGCAAGAATTGAAACATTTCAAGTCATGTGTTGTTTTGTGAAAATGGTTTGAATTTGCCACCCTCAAGTGGGCTTAAAGATGCGGATTTTCCACCAAACACAGTGGGCTTAAAACGGGATTTTGCCACGACAAAGTGGGCTTAAAACACATATTCGTTGAATTGTTCCAATTCAAACAACAAACCTTCATCTACAGGCATTCATGCAGTTTAGCATTTAAGCACATAGCCTCATGGTAAGCATGCGAAACATGGCAATATGGCAATCACACTCATGCAAGTATGCTAAAACATAAAACTCACCGAGTACTCTGAGCCAAGAAAGAAAACAAAGTTAGAAAAATGCATGATTTCTAACTATGTTAAATGACTAATGCAACACATGCCATGATGTAACCAAATAGGCTCGGCTACTTAATCATGGTATTTGCAACACTTTGATAGCATGCTTTGAAACATATATTCAAAGAAGTATTGAATTGACAATGCAGTTTGAATGAGGCGTCAAGTACATTGCTATTGGGAAATGGAGGTATATTTCAAATACTCGACAGTCCCTACCGAATTAATGAAGAATTTAGTAGGCTACCAGAGAGATTTCCATGTATTTGTTAAGTTCCAACCAGATCTCACTATTAGAGGAGGAATTCCTTGTATTTTATTAACAAATGGGGACAGTAGTTGGCTAGATGCAATGTCCCCAAAAATGAGAGAATGGTTCGATGTTAATGTAACCACTGTCATGATTAATGAAAAATTTTATTAATTTTATTTATGAAACCACGCAAAATTTTATTTACTTACTACATTTCCCTTATCATCAACTATTACATCTTGAGTCACATCACTATTTTTTACACTGATGATTACATTTCGTAAAACATTAGAAAATTCTACTGCATCCATAACAACTGATCCTCTACGATCAACTTTCTCTTTCCTAACACCAACCTCTGAAATCGACGGACCAGGATCAACATCACTAGATTCATCACCACCTCTGCGTACATCAATCTCTGACAAACTCAGACGACCTCTGCGTCCATGAATGACTGAACCACTTTCCCCAAAACCTCCTAACAACAAATCTCTTCGCCTCTCCGGTAAACCAACAGACTTAGTCCGTGTCAGAATCGAAATGGCCTTCGTTGGAGGACAATGCCAGACATCAACATTATCATTAGTATATTTTTTAGATAACACAACAATAGAGGGGGCCCTTATTTGCGAATCTTCTGGCATGTCACTCGTAGAATACTTCAGATACCTTGTTTCATCCCTCCTTTTCTTTCTGCCATTTTTGTCGATTTATTTGGTATACAATGTTGTACTCCTGAGAAGAGTATTCCGGGAATTACAGGCAGTTCACTCAAATGTGTGTAGATCGCTTTTTGACGTGGCAACTAGGACTGTGGGAAGAGAGCCGGCGGAGAGCTCCGGTGAAGTTTGTTTCGGTGTACGAAGATCAGAGGGCAAAAATATCAAAGCTAAGGTGTCTGAACAGAAGGGTTAGCAGAGGTAACAGATCCTGTAGAAGTGTTCGTATAAAAGATTTGGAGTTATTTATAAAAAATGGAAGGAATAGGAAGCAGCCATTACCGGACCCCCCTTGTGTACCGGAGGTCAAGGACACCAGCGGCCAGTGGATATAGGCGTAGTTACCGTGGTCGAGCACTTTTTAAGACCCAGTATGTTCGCAGACGGTACGTTCAGAATATTCCCCGATTTATTAAGAAGACTAAGAGGGGAGTAAGGAAATTACAGCTATATGATGAACAATTAAGGGACGTTAAGTTTGATAATAAAGGCGTGGCGAGATTACTTAATGGTATTGAGTTGG